GAGAACTGAAGACAGGAATGGAGTCTTCTGGCCCATATTTGTTTTTCAAAAATTCAGTAAGGTGCTGGCCCTGTGGCTCACTCGGGAGAGTGTGGCGCTGGTAGCGCCAAGGCCATGGGTTCGGATCCTATATCAGGATGGCCAGTGTGCTCACTGGCTGAGCGTGGTGCGGACGACACCGTGCCGAGGGTTGCTATCCCCTTACCCGTCAAAAAAAAAAAATTCAGAAAGAAGGTTTCTGGTCTAACTTGTGCCCTTTGGTCTAACTTGTGCCATAAGCACAAACAGAATTTTGAAGATGGACTGGAAGATAATATGCTGCTTCATGCCACTGGTAAGAAAGCAGTCTTCATAGAGGTGATCTGTGTACTTTTTGAAAGAGCGTTGTTTCACGAATTAATTCTTCCATTCTGACTACTTCAAAGAAAGACTTTTGAAATCAATACATAGAAACAATTTTTTAAAGTACTCGGCTGGTCAATAAAATATCAATATGAAAGAGATAACATGAAAACAATGTATTGGCTCCTTTATTGAGAAGTGCCATTTACTTTAAGTCTGATCGAGTTTACATGACTTTTATAAATTCCTCCATTAGGTAGGTGGATTATTNTTTAAGTCTGATCGAGTTTACATGACTTTTATAAATTCCTCCATTAGGTAGGTGGATTATTCATCCATTTATTCATGTAAAATATTTACTGAGTGCTTCCTCTATGCAGGCAGTGTTCTTAGTTCTGGGGATGTATAGTATAGAAAAAAGGACACAAAAATCCTTTTTTGGGTGTGTGAAACTTGCATTCTAGCAGAGGACAAATCGTAAACCCAATGAAATAAAGAGTATGTTAGATAATGATCATCAGGAAGAGGGAAAATAAAGCATAGACAAGGGCATGAAATATTGGAGGAGAAACTATTATATTTTAGACAGAATGGGCAGGAAAGCCCTAATAATATGACTTTCAACTTCATTTTAATTTGACAGGAAATATAAAGGTTTACGTTGCTTCTAATTGAGGAAACCCTCAGTCCCCTTACCTCTATCCCCATGACTTTGCCTAAACCCTCTATCCAGCTGGAACACCTCACTTCCCAATCTACACCACCCGACCCCATTGGGCTGAATGCCAATTACCCTTTAAGACCCACTGAAACATCACCTCCATCCTAAACAACCTGGGAGGAGCCTCTCTTTGGGCTTCCAGAGTCCTGTGCTCACCNATCTATTACTCTATTTACTCATGTATACTCTTATTTATCTTATTTGCTTCCGCCTTGAAAAGCTATAGTCAATTTCCCAGGGTTAATACTCAGAAAGTGGCAAAGCCAATATTCAAACCTGTGAAGAGTCCACCTCTAATGTTCAGGATCTTCCTTGGCATCCAGCTGCCTACCAATATAGTAAAAACAGATGATGAATGACATAAGGGTATATGTGAAGCTCTAAAGAGCCAATCACTCAAAAACTGGCTCTGCCTGTGAGCTTGAACTCAGCCTGGTAGGTCCAAGGCCCCCACCATGATGACTGGCGGGAGGGCCTTTTAAAGAGCAGGTATGCTCATAAGTAACTAAGGCTTCTCAGACAGTTCCTGGGGAGAAGCTCAGCAGTGAAGTGGTTTAAAGAGTCGGATGTGGAAGAGTGTGCACAGAGATAATATTGTAAAGCACCGGTGGGCACCCAGATACGGATCATCCCCATGCTCAGCCTGACTCATAATCCGAAGCAGTTGCCTTAAATGTATTTTTGGCTTTGCTACAGCCTGAGATCCTCAAAGGCTAGGCTGTCATAATTCAGGAGCAATTTCCTTTAAGGGGAAATATATATGATTGGAAATGTTCGCCAGAAAATAAGTTTAATTCTGATTTAACAATGGTTTGGGAATTGGTCATGGTAGGAAGCAGTGAAAGGGCTAATTCATAAAAACTATTGCTAAGACTAAGGAGCATTTTGGCCATTTTAAAATTCTAGGGTTCATAGAAACTTTTCTATCATTCAGATATGAACTTGTCAAGCGTTACTAAGTTCCAAATGGATGCAGGATGCCTTGCCATTTCTTTCTAGCTCTATTACTTCGTTTAAGAGATGGAGGTGAACTCACTTATCAGATTCTGAGTCCTGCACAAACTGCTCTTTAATTACTTTTTCCATTCAGATAAAAATGAATGTGAAAATATCCATCCATCATCTATATATGCATATTTCCAGAATTTCATATGGTATGAAAATGACTTGCTTTAGGCTGATTAAAAAGTTCTGAATAGCCAGAAGTAGGAATTTAAGGACTTTGCATTTTAAACTTAATAACTCAACTGCAAATTACAATTTAAACTTTAGGTAATGAGTTACCAGTGTTTAACAGGGTAAGGTAGGTAAAATTATGGCCATGGTAATCCCCAACAGGATTCAAACTCAGGTAGATCATTTACAAGCTCTGCAACCTTCGTTTGCTTTATTAATCCATCTAAGCCTCTAATCCATCTTTTGCAGGTTTCTGCACCTACAAAAAAA